TCTTTGTTCCCTTATTCCTCAATTTCTGCTCTTTTTTGTGTTAAATGTTTTTTCTAATGTACCATTTTAATCTCCTTGTTGTATTTTTACTAATTTTATTTTGAGTTATTTTCTTAGTGGCTGCCCTGGAGAGTACAATTAACATCTTAGTGCAATCTACTTTGGAATAATATCAACTTAATTTCAATTGAACATAAAAAAATTTACTATAGTATGGCTTTGTCCCTCCCCTGCCCCTTTTGGGCTCCTATTGACATACAACTTACCTCTTTATGCATAATAAGTCCATCAGCACACTTAGGTAATTACTGTTCCACGCAGTTGTCTTTTGAACTGGGTAATAGAAGAAAAGAGTTACAAAAATAAATTTGTGCTGTCTTTTGTATTTACCTATGTATTTACTTTTACCAAGTGTTCTTTCTTTCTTATGTGGATTTGAATTACTGTCTCTTGTCCTTTCATTTCCCCCCTGAAGGCTTCTCTTTAGTATTTCTTGGAGGATATGTCTGCTAGCAATGACTGCTCTGTCTTTGTGTATCTGAGAATGTCTTGTTTTCTCCTGCATTCTTGAAGGATAATTTTGCTAGATTTTCTTAAATGCCTTGATCCAATAAGGCTCCCTGCCTTGGCTGAGATGCTGTGTGTGTGTGTGTGTGTGTGTGTGTCTGTGTGTGTCCGTGTGTGTGTGTGTGTCTGTGTGTGTGTGTGTCTGTGTGTGTCTGTGTGTGTGTTGGGGCATGATTTCAATGCTCTGTCAGGCAGTTTATAAATTTCCTTAGCCTTCATTTGCTGCTTGTGCAGGGCCTCAAGGCCAACCAGAGGTGAGAGTCTAGGACCTTCTTAGGTCTTTTCTCAGAATACACGCAGTCCTGAACATATGCCATGTCATTGAGATTCCTGGGAATATGTGAATATGTTGGAGCTTTTCAGAGTCTCCTAAGGACACTAATTCTCTAGCTTTTCCTTTTAAGATTTTGAGCAGCTTCATCTGCCCCAACAGTTTCCTCTACTTTGGGCAGCTGTGATTTCAAAAAATTGCAGCTGATTAATGCTCCTTGAAAAGGTGGTTCACAGTGAGTGTGCTCTGCATCAGGTCAAATAAAGAGCCCTACAAGTGGGAGTTTCCAAGGAACTACCAAACAGGTCAAATAGTGACAATTCTCTGGGAATGGGGCATTTTGGGGAGCTCCCAACTCATTCTGCACCATCTGGTCACTACTAAGTTGCTGTTGTTCAGATACTGGAACTGAGAGGCTGTTGGTTTTCAAAGCTACCCTGGAGCTGGGGAGAGGGAGAAGGGAAATAGAATAAGCTAAAGCACTAAAAGTTTTGATATTCTTACTGAGATTCAGCCATTTTTCTTGAACAAACCCTTTTTGGATTGCTGAAAGCTTTTGGCTAATTTCCAGAGTTCTGAAAAAGTTGGTATTGACAATTTTTCCAGTGTCACTGTTGGAGCAGATTTTCAAAGAGCCTTTCTTTGCCATTCTGGAAGTTTAGAGCTCAAAGATACTTTTGACTATGTTCACGTTTCACTTTACTCAAGTACAAGAGAAGTAAAATCCCTTCAGAGATGTGACCCGATTGTGTACCACTTTGCCTGAGTACAATTTTACCAGTTTTTATTGAACTCCCTCTTGTTTCCTCAGCCTTGCACTTCCTGTTTATCAGTTTTATAAGAGATTGTGTTTGGTAGTTTAGAACAAGGGTGCCAAATACTGCTTATGGCCTGGTTGTTTGGGGATGGCCCCCCGATGTAAAAAAAGAAATGTTTCTTATATCTTTAAAGAGTTGTAAAACAAGCAAAACCCAAACAAACAAGACTGCATGACAGAGACCATATGTGGCCAGCAAAGAAAGCACAAAATATTTACTATCTAGCAATATTTGTACTTTGTACAAGTACAAGTACAATAATGTACTTTGTAAAAGTACAAAAAAAGTTTGTCAGCCCCTGATTTACCATGAAGGGATAGCGGGTTGGTGAGAAATGAGTCTATTTGCTGTAGTTGCCTTTTTTGTGTTTTTTGATGATCAAATAGTCCCTTGAGGGTCCTAAATAACAGTCTGAGAGGTGGAAGAGACATTACATATTGTCCTTTCCGATACTGAATTTTCTTGATGAAGACACCAAGATTCCAAGACTTGTTCAATGTCACAGTACTAATTACCCAGGACTAAAAGTTCAGGTTTCTGAATATACTTTGCTCCTCTTTCCATTGAAGCTGCCTAAAAATTTTCTTACCCCTTCCTTCTCAGCAACAAACATTCTTTTTTTAAAAAAGATTTTATTTTCAAGTAATCTCTACACCCAACATGGGGCTTGAACTCACAACCCCAAGATCAAGAGTCACATGCTCTACTGACTGAGCCAGCCAGGTGCCCCATAGCAAAAAGCATTCTTTTTTTTTTTTTAAAGATTTCATTTCGTCATTTGACAGAGAGAAACACAGCAAGAGAGGGAACACAGGCAGGGGGAGTGGGAGAGGGAGAAGCAGGCTCCCCGCGGAGCAGGGAGCCCGATGTGGGGCTCGATCCCAGAACCCTGGGCTCATGCCCTGAGCCGAAGGCAGACGCTTTACGACTGACCCACCCGGGTGCCACCAGCAAAAAGCATTCTTAACTTTAGATAAATAAGTCCCTCTCCTCCTTCCTCATCTTCATTTTTTCCTCTGACTCACAGAGAAGCTGTATGCTCCAATTTTTTGGACAGTTCTCTACCTAAGTTCTTTCTTTGTATTATACCAAGGAAGGTCCCTTAAATATCCACAGAGTTGACCCTAAACTTTTGGGTTCCCTTTAGTATCTTGCTGATAATGTGAATGGTAACAGTGGGTTTCAAACTGCTTCATTTGGAGATGGGTGAGATTCTGCCTCCCCCATGTCCTATTCAACCACAGCAGCCACACTTTCATTCATTTTACGTCTTGGGCTTCCAAACAAAATTTCGTTTGTATAGAGGATTTAGAAGGAGAAGAGAGAGAGATTAAGAGAGAGAGAGACAGAGATTTTAAAATCGCTGCTTTAGATTCTGAGTGAAGTAAGCCCAAGAAGAATCACAAGTACCTCCAAATACAGCTCTGGGGACAGTGGGAAAAACCAATATCATGTCACCTCCCCATGTCCTCAAGATGTAGACAAGCCTGGGTCAGAACTGGAGCCATGGATCCTAATTCTCGGTGCAAAATGGAAGAGCATCAGGAAATAAGTTGCAGGTGGGCAGATGGATTACATTTTCTGGGTTAAGCATTTGCTCAGGACCTGGCAGTTCTCTGGGAGCCTGAAATGAACTGACACATATATTCACAACTGATTCTTGACAAAGGCGCAGATTCAATCAAAGGAGGAAAGATAGCCTTTTCAATAAGCGGTGCTGGAGCAACTGAATGTCCATAGGCCAAAAAATGACCCCTAACCTAAACCACACATCTTATGCAGAAATTAACTAAAAAAATGGACAGTAGATGTAAGTGTAAAAGAGGTAAAAGGAAACATAGGAGAAGATATTGTGATCTTTGGCTAGGCAAAGAGTTCTTAGGTTTGACAACAAAAGTACCATCCGTAAAATAAAAAGAATAATAAATTGGACCTCATCAAAATAAAAAACTTTTGCTTTGTTAGAGACCATGCAAGAGATATGGAAAGACAAGCTACAGAGTGGGAGAAAATATTTGCGAGCCACATATCTAACCAAAGACATATATAGAAGATAAAAACAACTGTTAAAACTCAACGTGAGAAAGAAAAAAAAAAAAAGTAGAATATGAACAAAAGACCCGAAGAGGGGCACCTGGGTGACTCAGTTGGTTAAGCGTCTAACTCTTGATTTCGGCTCAGGTCATGATCTCAGGGTGGTGAGATTGAGCCCCGTGTTGGGCTCCATGCTCAGCGTGGAGTTCGCTTGAGATTCTCTCCTTCTCCCTGCCCCTCCCCCTGCTCATGCTCTGTCTCTAAAAAAAAAAAAAAAAAAAAGACCCGAAGAAACGTTTCGCTGAGGAGGAATTACAGATGTCAACTATGTATGTGAAAAGAAGTTTAACACCAGTAGCCATCAGGAAAAAGCAAATTAAAACCATAATGAGATACCACTACAAACCCCCAAGAATAGCTAAAATAAAAGGTAGCGAAAACACCAAATACTGGTGAGGACATAGATAAACTGGATCACTAATACTTTTCTAGCAAGAATGTAAAGAGTACCCCCACTCTGGCAAACAGTACTGCAATCTTTACAAACTAAACGTGCAATTGCCATACAACTCAGCAGTGGTACTCCTGAGCATTTATCCCAGAGAAATGTAAACTTATGTTCACACGAAAACCTACTGTATAGGAATGTTTACAGCGAGCTTAATTTGTAATAGCCCACAATGCCCTTCGATGGGTGAATAGTTAACCAAACTGTGGCATAACCGCACTACGGAATGTGGCTCAGCAGTATAAAGGAGTGAACCTGCTGATGGGTGCGACAACCTGTACGAATCCCCCGGGAATTATGCTAAATGGGAAAGGCCAGTCCCAAAAGGTTACATACCGTATGATTCCATTTATATAACAGTCGTCAAATGATGAAATTGTAGAGATGGGAAAGAGATCATTGGTTGCCATGGGGGGTTTAGAGGTGGGAGACGAGGGGCTGTAGCTCTAAATGGGGTAGTGCGAGGGAGCCCTTTGATGGGGTACACAGGTCTGTATCTCAGCTGTGGTGATGGGCACACAAATATACTCAAATGGTGAAATCGCATAGGACTACGCACACGCACACACAACACAGGTGCATGGAAAATGGCAAGATGTTACCATTGGGGGAAATTGAGTGAAGGGTACATCAGCACAAGTATTCCTCCCGATACTTCAGCTTCCTCTGAATCTGTAATTAGTTCAAAATAAAAATTAGAGAAAATACTAATTAAAAAAAAAACCCAGTCATCTGATGTTGCCCATTTCAGAGCCCAAGATGGCAAGAAAAGGAGTTAACTTTATCTCTTATCTTCTTACAGGATCTGTACCTGCCTCTGTCCTTGGATGACTCAGACTCACTTGGTGATTCCATGTGAAGGAGCAGAGAATGTTCAGAGTCCAGAGTACAAATCCAAGCTTACCGTTACAATAGGGTACTTCTGCTCAAGTGTCCAACAGGGCTATTGGTGCTTTCAGGTTTTTATTTGTTGTCGTTGTTATTTTTAAAAACACACTGTAATATTTGGGTTTATGTTCCTGTGATTTCTCCTCTGGGCCACTGATCCACAGTTACCAATAATAAGAGATAGATCGATAACCATCCTTCGGGGTAACTTTCCGGGGATGCAAAATGTCCTAGTCCATGACCTTTCTATTGAAAACTTAGGCGCCTGCGTTATTTCTCTCCCGTCTCACTTTGCTCATACACGACAGTCTTCCTTCTGTAGAGGGTTGTGTACATACATAGCACTTAAAATGCGTATGTGGGAAAGAAATTCATTGGCAAATCCAAGAGTGACAAACACAAGTGCCCCTTGTCTCCCGATCTCAAGAATGCTGGAGGATCCTGAGAGGGCAGCAAGGCAGCTCCCCAGCCTCGCTCTTCACTCCCAGCTGAGCCTCCAGTTTGTCGTCTAGCACCAATTCTGGCTGTCAAGGGGGAGAAACACCAGCAACTTGTAATTCTGACACCAGATGCTTAGGACCCCGGTGCAGGGCTAGCAAGAGAGAAACCAGGCAGAACTGAGAAACACTGTAGGCGTTTCGGCAGAGTTTCTAAAGCACAGCAAATTTCTTGTCGATCTCTCCAGTGGGGCAATTTGGAATCAATAAGCAATTAAGAGTTGGCGGTGAGGGACTTCATATGCCCGATTCCTCTAGGAGACTGTCTAACATAGCGAGTTATTACACAAACGGTATGGTATCCATCTATCTCTGGTCTATTGAATGCCTTGTAAACAGCCAACACTGAAAACACTGTGAGAATTTGTTTTCAGGTCTGACACCTTTCGGTCGCTTTTTATAGCAAGAAAACCAATATCCTTTTTATAAAACTTCGTGTCTGTACTGCAGGAGCAAACTCTTCAGGCTCCTTTTTTATAAACTGGTGATTTTTCTTTTGTCTAAAAAACACATGCAGAAAATTTACCAAAAAAAAAAAATGCAGAAGAATAACGTAGTTTAGAAATCATGCTGTCACTGCCAAACAGAAACCTCCAGGAGGACACAAAATGAATAGCAGAGGCCAATTCAATAGAATCAGTCTTTTGATAACTTTTTAACAGTTACGCTTACATTAATAATTTCAGCGTGGACCAGACATTCTAATTATATTTTAAAGGAAATGTTACGGCATATTTTAAGCAACTCTTTTTTTATCTGTGATCCTGATATTTCATACTGAAGACATAGAAACCTCTCGCTTGTCTTTAACGCTCGAGAGGATTTCTCTTTGCTAAGGACCGACCATTCGCAATAGTTCTCAGTCTTTGAGGTACCGGTTCATAACACTGCCTTTTGTCTGTAATCATAGCCCATTACGGCAAAGACGACTAAATTGAAGAGAAAGCCATGCATGCCAATTCTGTGTTTGCTTTTAGCAGATAATGAAGATTTTTTCCTTATTTCTTTGTAATTGTTCGGATAGTTTGTGAGGTGCAGCACTCAGCCAGGCTGCGGTTTGGCTCCTGAGTGACTTGCAGTTGTTCCTCCACTTGAACTGGAATGAGCGTGGGGTGTGTGTGCGTATGTGTGTGCACCCGCAGTTGCTTCAGAATTAGGAGATACTACAGGATACCCCATGTGGATCCGTGGCAACTTGGTGGCATTGCTGATGTGGGAGGGAACTCGGTGGTGGAAGGGGTAGCTCAGATGCTCCTAGACAAGCTTCAGATGACCTTAGCTACAAGAAATATGTTTGGTTCAAGGAAAGTCCTGATGATGGTAGTACTGATTCCTGGTTAAATTGGTCCCCGAAGAACCCCAAATCATGAGAATCTCTCTTTGCCCCTCTCCTTTACGTGTAGGCCTGTCGGAAACCATGACGAAGCCGATTTTTCTTACCCCCTACTTCCTTCTGGAAGCTCAAGGTTTTCCTTAGTGCCTCCCAGAACAATTTGTAGTTAATTGGGGAAAACTGGTACTCGGGATCGTAGGGGTGGCGGGGCAGAGGCAGGGTAGAGAGAGTGGTGGTAGAAGGTCTATTTTTTAATCTTCCGGCCAGACCCCCAAAGATTCCACTCTCTCCAGATCTCATTTAGCCCAGTTCCTTCCATTTAAGATGAGACAGAGGCTGAGGCAGCTAACTAACATGCTGGTGAGGATCAAGACCAGAGGAGGAGTTCAGATTTTCTCCTGTCCAGGCCCTGTGCTACCTCCCTGAGCATTTCCTCACTGGTGGCGGGTGTACTAAATGGACACATTTTCTTTGACCCAACAGTCTTCAGTCATAAAAGTAGATTTTGCATCTTTCTTTGAATCAATTATAAGAGAACGTTTCTGTACTGCCACTTCAGGGGGCTTGGTCTTGTTCCAAAATGCAAGCCTTTAGTGATTGCATTTTAAATTAGCTCATTTTCAAGGCAGAAGAAGAAATTGTAACTGAGCGCCTTCACCCCTGTCATTCATGCCAGATTTTGCCCAATCCAGTTTTACCCCTAAAGTCCCATTGTGTTACCTTCTGCACACTCAGCAAATATCAAGTCATTCAGCGAGCATCTGCCACCACTCTCCCCATCCTCCCTCCCTCTTTTACGCACGTGCGTGCACACACGTGCGCGAGTGCTCACATGCGCGTGCGCGCGCACACACACACACACACACACAGTCCATCTGTTGCTTGTTCCTACCTCCTGATTTTTCTCCCTTACAGAAATAGAAATAGGGACAAAGAAGGGGAAAATGTATATATGGGGGCTGGGCTGAACAACTTCATAAGTAGTGTTAGATAGAGGTAAATTGAGAGAAGATTTCCTTTTCTCTTCACTGTTTTGGAAAGGATAGCCATTAGCATGACTGCTTTGTGTCCTTAAGGACTTTAGTATTAGCCTAGATTGAATCATAGAGATTTCTAGCTGGAAGGAACCTTAGGATCACATCATCTACTCCAAATTCCACATTTTCAGGCCAGGAACGGCGATGCAGAGGTAAAGTAATTTCCCCAAGGTCACACAGCTGGCTAGGGGCAGGGCTGGGATTAGAACTCACATCTCTTGGCTCTTATTCCAGGGCCTTTTCCCACTGAACTGTATTGCCTTCCATTAGGCTCCTGAGAATTCTTTCCCAGGGTCATGTTGCATCTTGGAGCCATATGCTGCTGCCCTGAGCTCAGTGGGAAATCCACCCAGCAACCTAATACGGCTCTTTCTCCCTGTGTTCACATGGTTCCCATCCACATGGACCGCAGATGTCCCCAAAGAGAAGGAGACATTGAGGACCCACAGGAACAATGAGGTCCCTGACCTTGTCCACCCAACACAGAGGATCACTGCCCCACCTCGAGGAGCCCTCAGCCCTCTGAGCTCCTGCCCTGCCCAGTTGAAATGGGGGGAGACTGATTTTTTTCCCTGTCAGCTCACCTCATCTCATCTCCTACTGGTTGGGTCTTCATAGGCTGAGGGAAATGTTTCTTGTTCCCAGAGCAGCGAAAGGAAGGAAGAACAGAACCATAGCTTTGTTCATCCTGACATCCCGAGACGGCTTTTCAGTATGTTTTAAATGACTATGGCTGCCATTCACTGGTAATGATTTCTTTTAAAATATGGGAGAGAGGCTAACTAGAGAAAAGAGCCTGGTCTCGACGTGGTGGTTCCCATCCACAATGTTCCCATAGCCATCCTGCCCCAGTGGGGACAATTTCCAGGTATAACCAAGGGGCTTTGTAACTAAAATGCAGCCTGGCTGATGGTAAACATCGGCTCCTTGTGTTTGCACTAAAATAGCAAGCTATGTGCTCAACACACCATACTCCTCTTCTTGTGTACATTGCTTGTTCCTGTGGCCTCCAAGGCAGAAACCAGGGCAACTAGGTCTGAACACGTGGTTTGCCTCACAGCAAGGTTCCTCCTGGGAACTGAGGGGTATTCATTAGTTCAGGTCCAAGAGACCTCTCTCTGGGTTTACCCCACTTCTCAGGAAATTCTCTCTTCTTCCTGCTTCTCTTCCCCAATCGGAAGGAACCAAGGAACCTTAAAGTGGATGTAGAGTTCTAAGAAGAAGGAAAATAGAAGGGGTCTGAGCCCCCTGGATCCTTCTTTGGATCACCCAGCCCAAGTCTTAGATCAGCGATCCGGTGCTTGCCTTGGACAAAATTGTGTCTACTTCTCCAGTCCCTTCAATACTCTGGCAGGACATGCCCTCAGTCCCCCTCAGATTTGCTTCTAAATAGCTTTTCTTTTTTAAAAACACGTCTCACTGGGACAAGGGAAAAAGCATGCCCATGTGCCCCAGATGAGCTCCAGCACACTGATGAGAATGTTTTCAAAGATCAGCCTACCTCCGAAACATCTATGCCAAGAGACATCTCTGGATAGATGCCCCAGGGCAGTGGGGTTTGAATGACCTCCTTTGCTACCCAAGTCACTCTGGGGACTAAAAGGTATTGGAGATTTATTTTTTGAAGAAGGCCATTGGAACCTGTCCTTGGCCACAAAGGGCCACTTGAATCTCCAAGGCCAGGCCTCAGTCATGCATTGCCCTCATTGCATTCCGGGATTTGGCTCTTAGGCCCAGGCTGTTTTCATCAGTAAACCGTCAGTATTTTGAAGCTCATCTGAGATGTGGGGGCATTAAGGGTCCCCTGTTTTGGGACCTGGGATCCAGGGAGAATGAAGTCCCAGACGTAGATCTGCCAAAGGTGATCTGAGACCTCCTGTGTAGCAATGGAACCGTCACACTTCTGCCACTGCCCTAAGGAGGGGGACCTCTTATGTAGCGTTGGCCAATGGGACATTTTGTGATTCCATATGGGGTATCCTCTTCCTTATCGGTGTGGCCCCCCGGAGCAAGGATACTGCATTGATTCCTTGTGCCTACCTTTTGGCGGGAGAGGCGTCTCTAACAAGCTCTCTGGCTCTTGGTGGCCCAGACCCAGTCTAGT